GCAATGACTAATGAAGAAATGAGTACCTAATGAGAAATAAACTTGTTTAGAAAAAAAAACGATTAAGTTATAAATTAGTATTTTTATTGAAATATTTTTCAAACATTAGCTAAAACAGTTTTAAACTATTTATCTTATTTTCGATGTTTTTATAGTTAACTTTTTCAAATGCATGAACATTTTCCGATCTTTTTTTCTATGGGTAATTGAAATGAAGGTTCAAAAATATTTAAGCACTGTAGTATTATTSTTATATTATGTTGTTATTAAAATATCGTTTATGCAATAAATATTAAGTTATATTTCGCCTATTTATAAAATATGTTATGGGAAACGCATGTTAACAACTATGTAGGATATACCTAAACATTAATTTTGTCGACGGTATTGTTGCCGCCGCGCATCGGGTAGGTTAACACAGCGGTGAAGCCCAWAAGCGCAAAAGATCAACTTTTTTCGATAAACCAAAAGCGCAAAACGAATTTGCGCTTTTGTGCTTTAGTAGTGMTATAAAAGCGCAAAAATAAATTGTATTACCTGATACAATATTGTACACGTTACACTAAAGGTTTCATTTTTAAATTATTATAGTAATATTATTTCAGTTCAATTTATTTAGTATTATCGAATTTCATCGTAACAAATTACGRTAAAAAATATTTCAAGATTGAATTACTTAAAAACAGTGGGCTTCAAATTTCAAATTTAATATTAAGGTACTTATTTATTTATGTTTTTTATTGATCTTAAACAAAACATCTATTAGTTGTTGCTATTAAATTAAATACAATTTCTATAATTATTTCTATATTTTTATATTTAAATTTTAAATATACATTTTATAATCACGAATATCATAGTATTAATAACTGTATGATTTTAATTATATGTTTTTGACTATATGATTTTAATAAAATACACTTTTTTTTATAAAATTAATTTGCKCTTTTGGGTTGTGTTCGGGTCATATTTTGCGCTTATGGGCTACAGCCTAACACAGGATTGTAAGCTTGTTTACTATTCCGAATACATTTCAAGGCGATTTTACAAGAATCAATACACGAAATTAAAACWGTAATAATAATATTATTACGATAGTGCGGCGTCTTTCGTCAACAATTATTACTATAATTTATTATAATTTTAAGAAGCAATAAATTACAGGAATAATATAGCGTGCCGGGCAAAATAATTCATATAATATTCTCCCCACCGAGTGCTATTGGCACATCATATCCTGATACACCGTGGCCGATCCCAAAGTCAAGGCCGGCCGGGGCCCACTCGGTACGCACTCGCGTAAAAATACCTACCTGGCAAATACTATACGGAAACTAAAACCATAGACGGCGTTAAAAAAAAAAAAAAACCACGGAAATGCCGAACAATTCGTCGTCGAGTGGTCGTCGTGGGTACCAGGGGCCCAGGATGACGGCGGTAGCGACGCGTCACGTACAAGAGCAGCTGCTGTACGCGATACATCAACAATAACAATAACGTTACCTGCGTACCTATATGGGACGTGGTCTTWCTGGTGACGGTATAAGCCACGAACGAYGTTCGGCGGACGACGCTTGTTTCCTTATCGGTTCCTAGTACTGAATTAACGGTTTTAGGTTCCGCCGACGGTAGAATAAGGTATTTTTTGATCGATTAATAAACTCACGTTAGAAGTTTTCGTCTCGACATCCATACCTTCCGTGAAAAATTAGGTAGGGCATTCGATAATCCTTTATTGATTGTTATATCGGGTGCGCGATAGACGAAAGTCATTCCGTATGCTGCTGTATTTTTTATTGTTTACGCGTGACCACTCGTCAAGTGGTACGTAATTACATCATGTAATTTTATACACGTATATAGTAATTTATTTTATTATTATTATTATTAATACGGTGGACTGAATTCATTTTTTATGAAAATATTGCACTTACATAAATAATATAATATTAATATATAAATACTTAAATACAATAACCTATATAATTATATGGTATATTATTGTTGGGTATTAAAGGAGACGTCGTACTCATAGATACTTATGTTGTCTCTGTCTTACTAATGCATAATAATAATAATGTATCAAATTATCAAAATATACCTACGTCCAACAATAACACAAATTTTAAGTTGTTAACTCGAATATTAGAGAAGCAACCTAAATTCAAACTTTAATTTAGGAACCTAACTCTAATACTGTGTTCTTTCGTTGGTTTTTTACGACATTTTAATTTCTAAGTGAACTATGAGTAAAAAAAGTAGAAGTCAAATAAAAATGAACGCTAAGATTTCTTTAAAAGCATTTAATGTTTTTTCTTATTGCACGAAAAATGTCCTTTTTGTGTTAAATTGAAATAATAATAGTATTTACTAGTTGTGATTTATAAAAATAAAATATAAATAGAAAAATAATATTACTATTATTGCGTTTTTTTTCTGACTTTTATTGTATTCCAGATTCTGTATAATGTTTTATATATTCTGTGATTTTTTAAAAATAATATAAATGCATAAATACATTTAAACTTTCTCCTGCATATAGGGTATTTTGAAATACATTGATCATTTCTTGAAAATCTGCTTTGCCTAATTGTTATTTCTGATTCAATTGTCAATAATATCAACGCTGATCGCAAAAMAATTTTTATTTTTTTGGTTTAAACTTGACCTTAAATATTTTTTTTGTAATCATTCATTTTATTTTACTACTAATTTTTAAAAACAATGCACATTTTTGAGTTGTAATAATATTGTTTTTAACAAACTTTAAAATAATAAATTATTAAAATATTATGTAGTATGCATTTATATATCTTGTGATACAATTAATACGCACAATATTATGTAAATAAAAAATAAAAATTTTCCGACCTTTAAATTAACTAATAAATTTGTCGGCCAGGGCAACAGGCTACCCCCTTAAATAGATACGTGCCTGAATCATAATACGAAACAATTAACAATAAATTATCAAATAAATTCGCAATTTTGTTTTAATCTATTATAAAATTTGATAATATGTTTGTCGATAGGTATGCTTACAGATTTAATAAGCCATAGGTCACTAGGTCAGTGTTTCTTAAACGTGGGTCTCGTGTCAACTTTCGGTGAATCGTATAAAATGAAAAGCCTATGCTTTTTAAACCGTAAAAACACAACGAAATATTAAACATTTTGAAAATAACAATTATTAGTGTACATCGGAACTCCGAACTAGGAAATAATAGGVATGAAATCACATTAGGATTTAGGACAAAATAGCGTAGGTACCCTTGGTACAAGTGGTACAACCCAGAATCCCGCGGTATACCGACTGAACCAGCTCGACTGATATTGTTTATCTGTCCCCAAGGATTTATTATTTATATTTCTAAGTTTATGAATAATCATTTGAACGACTAAACGTATAAAAGCCGTAGACTCTAAGTAATCAACATCGAATAAAATATGAGAACTAAAAGAATTAAAACAACAAAATAAGTAGTTAGTGCAGACATGTTGATTTAAAAAAATTAATTTTCACGTCTACTGAACCAGTAGTGTGTAGTGAGATTGGAAAGGGCCCAGGGCCAGTAATTAATATAGACAAATATAATTTTAATCAAAATTTAAAATATTATACATATAGTAATTTGTAGCCGACAGCCGTGAATAAATAGACGGGTGTCGGGTATACACTACGGTATCGTAATGAAATATATGGACGGAATTATTAACAATAGCCTAATTATTTTTAACAAATGTGTGAAATGTTTGGGGAAATTACGATAGGCCCTCAAGGCGACAAGGCCTTCGTTATCCTGATTACAGTTTTACCATATAATAAATATTAAAATATACGTATTTATATTGTATCATTGTTTTTCGGTCGACTGTATATTTTATAACGACCCATGCGACTACAGCTGCAGTATCTTATCTGATATTTATTGTGTTATCGTTGATGATAACTGTAACAAAATTGTCGAACCTCGAAAATCAGTTTTTTTTTTTACTTCATTCGCCGGTTATTACTTTTCGCAAAGATTCGTGTACATTTTATAATTATTAATTAATAAATACAATAATCATGGCTGGGAGTCGTTTGGAAAAACTGGGAACTATATTTACGAGGTACTGTAAGAGTTTTTGTTGATTATAATAACGACCCATAGTTATGCCGTATGTAAAGTTTAAATAAATCTGAGCTATTAAAATATCTTTAGGGTTAACGGACTCATAAAGTCTGGTGCAATGAAAGTTGATGATCGACCCATTTGGTACGATGTTTACCGGGCGTTTCCGCCTGAATCGGAGCCACATTATGCAAAGCCGTCTCAATCGCTTAAAGTTCCAGATATATTTTACCCGGAGGATACATTCAGAGCGTTGGTGTTATGACTTTTTTTTTATTAATTATGATAATTAAGTAAGTTAAATAATTAGCACATTTTCATGTTATAGTATGTTCCACAAAGAGACTCGTGGTCAATTACCAGCAATCAATTTACGAGAGACTCAACAAAATCAAAATGTCACAAACATAGCTGTGAACATGGTAGTTGCTGATCCATCCCTCACTGTTAATCAAGTGATTGATACTCTGAAAAAAAATAATGTTCTGCAAGTTAACAAAACTTCATCCAAAAGAGTCGATACCACAACGATAAATGATAATACAAATAAATCTGTTGTCAATGAAACCAATGATCATTTAAAAAAAACAACTGTTCACAGTAATTAGTATTTCTTATTGAATTTGTTAATAGTTATTAAAATTTTGAATACATTTATTAATTCATACATCGTCTCTTATTTTTGTAGTGTTAAAGTAAGAAATACATATATGTTTATCATTTGATATAAAATTAGTTTAATCTTACTATTTGTGTATATGTATTTTCTGTGCACATTTGAGGTATTATTTTAAGTCCAAAATGTATGATTTGAATAAAATAAAATGTGTAATAAATTCATGTATATATAATAAGTAATAACATTATATATATATATATATAATAACCTGTAGAATTATGATTAGATTTTTTGAAAACCACTAGTAGCTTATAACCAGAAGCGAGCTCAGGATTAAAATTTGAGATATGCCAGGTTATTAGTATTACTTGTAAACAAATTAATGTTTTTTTAAATTTGATTCATAGTCACTGGTAAATAGTAGATTCTAGTAATAATAGTACAAAATAATATAGCATATTTGTTTTACTACAAGTAATATATGAATATTTAATCCAAGGATAGTGGATACAATATATTTCATATCATGGAATTTAGAAACTACATTGTTTTCCTCAAATTGTGTAACTTGTAATCCAAGTGATCGGTTGAAATAGGAGTTGAAATCATTATACATTACCATTTAAACTAATTGAAGAATTATTGTATCAATACAGGAAGTAGAAGAAACTTTGGAAATTGAGTTCTTAATAATATTTTTTATAATAATTAAGTTTTTATATTTTTGGTTGTGGTTTATGTATTATAGTTAGTTAATGCTTATAGCATTGTCATCTAATGTCTACATTGATTTTTGAACTGATTTGTAAAATGATGTAATTATCTTTAAAATTATTTTAGTATCCATAACTCATAAGTTATGATAAATAAAAATAAGATGAACAATAAACATGCATATTGTATAACAATAAACAAAGAAATGAAATTTAAGACAAAAAATTTCTAGTAATTCACATAATCATGTTATACTTGTTAATCATTATTCATTACATAAACATTGGTAGTTGACGGTTGGCACCAAACTAATTATATTATCATTTATTTTCTAGGAATAATATCTTATATTGTGGGGACAAGTGATGAAAACAAAATACATAAAAATAATGATTTTGTTCAAATTGGTTTTACTTTGATATAGCCATATACGCAACATGCACTGTTTTATGATATTAATTTAATAAATATTTTTTTTTTAATGTATTTAAATGGATTTAAAGATTTTATCAGGCATATTCAGTATATACATTTATTCATATTGAAATATAGAATATATGTTGTATAATGTACAATATTTTGTTTATTAACTACAAAACAAAGTAATTTTCTTGAGGACAATGAAATGGGCTATCGAGTACTTAATCTGCAACAGTTATATTTTTGTGTACTGGTGACATGATATGTTCCTTAGTCTAAAGGTAAATTCAGAAATATTTTAACGAACCGTAAGTATACAATTTGTTTTAAAATTTACTTGACCTGTAGAGTTCCTTAAATTGTTTTTACTCGTTTGAGTATTAATTTTTTAATAGTTTACTTATGTTTGGAAAATGCATTAAATCACATCACACCTTAGATTCACTATAATTATAGCAATTTAAATACATTATAAAATGTACCCAGAAGTCAATAATATAGGTTGATAGACTGGTTTCACTCAAAATCATTTTTGTTATATAATGATTTATTTGTTTATCATTGAATTAAAATCTAACTCAAAAATTACACTTACAGCAGGGGCGTCATTTGGGATATTTCAGGGTATGCCAATGTATGTCTTAAATTTATCAAGATGCATTTTGGCCTAACAATAATTTTTCTGCGGTGAGTAAAGATAATTTTAGATTCTGAGCGGAGCGATGAATATATTGATTTTACCATGATGTGGGGGTTTTTTTTTGTGTCTGTCATCACGTTTTGGGGCAGTAAAAGTGCTTCGATTTTT